AACAAACAAACAAACAAACAAACAAACCCTTTGCCAAAAGAAAGTTTTGCAAAAAGCACATTTCCTGATTTCTTAACTTTGTGGTATTGCTAATAAATTATTTGGAGGAATGTATTGTAGATAGAATTATTCGTTGCAACCAAATATACACTGAAGCAAACGATTTGTAAAAATAATTACTCTAAAAAAATGTTAACTTCTCAAAAATTGCTTGTCTCATGAAACAGTTGATGAACATGTGATCTTTAGGGGCATGTGAGAGAAATTTGTTGGGAAGCTATTTCACTTGATTGTATTTTTAACACATCTATTCCAAGAGTCATCCAGATGGCTCTTTGTTAGAAGGGGGCATATGAATAATAAAAAATGGTTTCTGTGTTTATTTACACCTACTAATAACCAGGAGTGAGGTAATTTTCCTTGCTAATGGAGCTCTGTTTCTCTCAGGAGCAACCTGTTAACTACTGAAAGAGCTACCATCTGATTTTCACTTAGGAAAGCTTTCAGACCTCCTGATAACATCCAACTTGTCCAACAAGCACAGTGCCTAAGGCCCATGAAAATGTTTTTCATTTTTTTTCAAATCAGAAAAATAAAACTGAAATAGTCGTTATCTTTATGTCTCACTTTTCAGCCTTGAAAATATACACAATAAATAGAATACAGGTACATAAAAATACAAATAAAATATACATACAGTTCAAATTAAAAGCTCAGTCATATATTAAATAACACCGAGATAATTTAATGATTCTCATAATTAATTGGCAACAACTGATTATTATTACCAAATAATCATATATCATTTACTATTCCCCATCTCTCTGTAAAAATATAAAGAAAACATTGAAGATCATATGAAATATAATTTTTATGATTATTGATTTTATGGAGGGAGGGACCACAAAGGTAAAAGTATCTAGGGCCCACAAACGACATAATGTGGCCCTGCTCCTATTGCTAGCTTTGTAGCATGGACTGCAGTAGTTATTCTGCTGAAAACATTACAGAAGATAACTGTCAGATACTAGTTATTTGAGGGACATGGTTAATATGTATTAAGTAAATGATGGTGTATTGTTATCCTCTGGCCATTTATTTAAAGCCTCTTTGAAAATTTGATCTTGGAAAAAAATTGTGTCCCTCTTACTCAGTATGTATTTTCTTGCAGGTGTATTTTTACACATTCTTGCTGATACGCTTGGAAGTATTGGTGTAATCATATCTGCACTATTGATGCAGAACTATGGTTTGATGATTGCTGACCCAATATGTTCGATGCTTATAGCTCTGCTTATAGGAGTAAGGTAAGTCTTGCAATCGATGAAGATTTAAACTCATAAGATTTAGAACTGTAACAAATATCACTGGCCTTGTTGTCAACTGTTCCAGCTATAACGATTCTCTTTTTTCCTTAGTTTGTATACCCCAGGAAAACTTTCTACTGTTAGAAATCACTTTTGCTTGTAATTATATATATTTTAGCATTGCAGAATGGCTTTTCTGACTCACATTATGAAATATCTTTATGTTATGGTTCATATAAGCATTCTACTATATTATTAAATGAAGCAGAATGGTCTCAAATTCAATGGATCCTAGTCTGCTGGCCTTGCCTTTAATTTTTAATATAGAAATATAGTTATACATATAATAACTTTGCTTTAGTATGAGATTACTTTCTATATAGAATCTACGTTTATGTAGAAGTGTGTTTATCAAAGAAGCAGTAGAGGTTATCTTATAGGTACAAAAATCATTAGGTAACCTGGCAAGGTCTGCAGCAGGCTTAATGTGGCATATCAAGAGCTGCCATTTAAAAATGGGCAGGGCCAGAGCCTGCTTTGGGAGGGGTTTCAGGAATATTAGAGATTTGATTGTGTCTAAAGCATTGGGAAGTTTTGAGGCCATTTTGTGATCCTGTCCATTCAGGGGATGGGGGTGGGGATGCTCTGAGGTCCAGAAAAGATGTTGATAATTGTGTGCCTTGCCCAGGCTGCACTTTTTACAACCATCCTGGTCAATCTCATGTAAACAGAATCAAATAAAAATATAGTCAGTTATTCTGATTGTTTTGTCTGAGCCATGTGCTATGCTCCTTGGAAATTTGCAGTCTCAACTATTAGAACTCCATTTCCATTTTGTTTATGGGAATGTTATCCTAATGGATTAGCATAGTTATCATTTTTTAAAAGTGGTTTTCTGGTGCAGTCTGAGTTTCAAGACTCTTTATTTATTTATTATTTATTTATTTAAAACATTATATAGCCACCCATCTTACATCAAACTCCCAACCAACAGTTGGTGGCTCCCAACCAACAGTTAAAACAGCATCAATATACAATTTGTTGTCTTAACACAGTGATTAATAGCACTTCGTTGCTTAATGTTGGCACTAATGACATTCTTGGCAAGGCAAGAAAAACATAATTTCTAAGTATTGTATGTGAATGCAATATGCTCATTTTAAAATGGAAAGTTTCTTGTTTAGTTCTGAAATAAAATGTTGCTGATGGCTTTTTGGTAGGTCAATGCAATATATTCATGTCATGCAGGATTAATGTACTTATTAGAGTTATAATCATGATTGTCCTTTTAAAGGCCAGAAATTGATATTAAGTTACAATTACTATTTTTAATAGTGGTCCTATTAAATATAAATAACAGTGTATACATGTGATTGTTAATTTTATTAGTACAATTTTAAGCTATTTTCTTTTTCTGGAGAATACTTCAACTCTTTATACTACCAATAGTGGCTTTGGTTGTATATTAATTATTAATCATCAAGCTACTGTTTTACAATTACTAACTATGGTAGTTGTAAAACAGTGGCTTGATTCATATGCTATGCTAAGTCAGGGATTCACCAAATATCATGATCTTCTAAAATTATAAATCAATTTGTGCAATCCTCCCACCCTCCCATTAAAGCTAGGATTTCACTGGGTAAGAAATAAATAAACTTCCCTTATAATAATTAAATTTTAATATTTATATTAAGTAAAATAATAGTAGAACCTTACATCTTTATAAAACTCTTTCCTTTGGAATTACTAAAATCAAATCAAATGTAAACCATATTTACAATGGGAAGGTTAAATTTGCTTGCTTTTACCTAATCCCTGAAATCTGATTTCATTTTTGAAATTAGCTACAGGTAGTCCTTGACTTATGATCACAATTGGGACCAGAACTTCTGTCACTAAGTGATGTGATTGTTAAGTGAGTCACACCCGATTTTACCTTTTTTGCTGTGGCTGTTAAGCAGATCACACAGGTCTCTTATATTTTATATAGTGTTCATGTTGACCATAGGATAATGCCCCCAAACAGTTGATACTATGAGAAATGCTGCAAGAAAATAATCAAGGCATGCTTGGGGTAAAATCCAAATCCTATTGATAGTGTAGGCTTCCAGTGTTATACTTTGAAAGAAATCTTACATTCTAAAGCTAATGGCAGCAAATTCTGCCTTGCTTCTCTTGACTGTCAAGTCACATTTCTCTTAGTCTCTTAAAAGCCACATGTCAGCATAAATAGCACTTTTGTACCAAGTTCCCTTTAGGTAGTAAAGTGCAGTGTCATTGTTTAAGTTGAGTGTGTTCATGTTTTGCTGCATTTGAATGATGTAACATGGTCTTGTTGTGCAACACACATATTTAATTCAGTTTTGAGGCCACCCAACTCCTCAACAACTCTGGGCATCTTACAATTAAAAAAGGAAACAACTTATATAAAAAAATACAACTGACTGGAAGACTGACTACTTATCAAACACAAAAATGGGATTCCATATCCCTTGTGGAGTCCTTTCTGTATCTTGATGGAATTTGGTGGTTTTCTGTTTAAAAGACTGGTGAAATTGTTTTCTTAATGTCTGGATATTGCCATTTTAGTGTCGAAATGATAATCACTCCTTTTCATGAGTTGGAGGAATAACCCATTGGTCCTATATAAGCAGGAAAAGGGCAGTGTTAATAGGTGGTTGCACACATCATGGAGAAAGACCTGAAGAATAATCTTGAATTGTTTGGCTGCTAATTCTTGTAAGGGGACAATCTAAACAGATGAAGAGCAGGGACAGGCAGCTCCTCTCTTCCATCTCTATCTAACATTACTACACTTCTGAGTTTTGAATAGAAAGATGTTGAAAGCTCCTCAAGTAAGACTAAAAATCATGTCTGGTTTATAAGATGAACAATACCTCTTGTAAATCCAACTTAAAGAAGAAATATATGTCCCATTTCCATATGGTCTGAATCTGAAATGACCCTGGGCAGTGGAGCAAGTCTTGGGTTGTGTATTTTTGTGTATTGCATGAAGAACATTGTATTGTATTAACCCATCTGTTTAAACAAAGTTTGGATGAACTGGCCTTCAACTTGATTACCATTATGCTTTGACTCTGCAGACTTCCTGTATTTTGATAATAGGGATTGGTTTAAACTGTTCATTATTACAGTTTAATACTGAGAACAGTGAGATCACTCTGTTTCTCCAGCAGAGCATTTCCAGGCTGTATAATATTGGGTTAACATTTGCTGGATCATAAATTCAGTTTGGTGTAAACATCACACTGAAAACTGCTGAACCACACATGCATAGTGCTAGACATACTGCATTTGTTTCTGCAAATCAGAAAGAAGGTAGATTGATGGCATAAATCAGTAAGTAGAGAGAATGTGGTGCTGAACTGAACATAGTTGGTAATGTGAGGATTTCTTTAGAAGGATGCTTAGAGTGAAAACATATAGGCCAGCAAGCACATTTAGAGAATGTATTGAAAATTTAAAAATAATTACATACTTTCTACATTATCGCTTTCAGCATTCTAAAAATGGAAAATGGTTGAATTTAAAGTTGGTCATAAAAAATCTATAGGAAACTTCTCAACTCAAAATAATGTGCTATGACAATTTATTTGTTAGTTTTATATTGCAGCTTTTGTTTAGAAGCTGAAGTCCATGTATATAGTGCTCACTCTTCCATTTTATCCCTACAACAGCAATCCTGTGAGGTAGGTTGGGCTAGTGGCCCTCTTTAGGATGTCTAGTTCTTTGCTGGAGGGGTTGGTGAGCCACAGGAACATCTTTCGGGCTACATTCTAGCTATCTGGTGGATAACATTGCTCAGATCTACTAGGAATTGCACTCTGATTGGTCATCCAGTTAAGGTGCCTGGGGCAGAGTCTTGTGGATTTAACTGGGATGAGTGAACTTGTGACTCCCAGTGAAGTGGGCAGGATCCTTCACGTTGTGAAACTGATCATCTGTTTATTAGTTCCATATCCCTCCTAGATTTTTAAGGCTGCCTTGTAGATGACATGTGGTTGGGTCAGTGTGACAGTGTTGGCTTCTGTGAGGGAGGAGATGGTGGATGTTTCTTTGCTGTTTCTGTTGGAAAGAGGGTGGGATGTGTATGTGCTTAATTAATATGTTTCTGGGTATGCTTAGTGGATATGAGAGAAAATGGTTCATTTATGCAGGTGGTGATAAAATAGGAGACACCTTATTTTATAGGCAATTTATTTCGATCATTAGGTATTAATCTGGATATTTGTTTGTTTGTTTATTTATTTATTCATATCCTTGCCCTCTTTTAGAATATGGTTTCTGATAGATAGACAGACACACGCACATACACTGGGACAGTTCAGTGCTCTGAGAAAGATGATTCGGAATCTGTGGGATGATATAAGTTGCACATTTGCAACTCTCTACTGGGGCTGCATTTTTTCACAGCCACATGGTCCTGGAAAAAGGCTTGTTTGTTTTAGAGCTGCAGACAGATGCTATTTTTATCATTCCACATATTTCAAAGCACCTTTTTGAAATTGAATCTGAAGTCTTACACAATTCTAACACAGACAGAATTTTTGTGGCAGCTGTTAAGCGAATCACCATGGTTGCTAAGTGAATCATGTGGTCATTAAATGGTAGTCCTCACTTAATGACCATTTGTTTAGCAACCGTTTGAAGTTACGATGGTGCTAAGCTACTTATGACCAGTCCTCACACTTACGGCCATCTCAGCATCCCCACTATCATGTGATCGCGATCTGGGCGCTTGGCAACCAGCTTGCACTTATGATGGTTGCAGTGTCCCAAGGTCACATGATCATATTTGCGATCTTCCCAGCTGGCTTCCAGCAAGCAAAATCAGTGGGAAACTGTGTGATTCATTTAATGATCATATGATTCACTTAGCAACCATGGTGATTTGCTTAACAGCTGCCAGAAAAATTGAGTGCAGTCATGTGATGCCTCATTTAACGACCACCCCAGTTAACAATGGATTTTCCAGT